GAAGGAAGGAAGGAAGGAAGGAAGGAAGGAAGGAAGGAAGGAAGGAAGGAAGGAAGAAAGGGAGGGAGGGAGGGAGGGAGGGAAAAAGGAGAGGGAGGAAGGACCACAAACCTGGCACTAGACGCAGCTTCAGAGGATACTAGAAATAACACAACAATCCAGGCCTGGAAGGGACCTGGAGGTCATCCAGTCCAACCCCCTGCTCCAGCAGGATATTGTTAAAGTGAGTTTCTGTCTTTTGAACCTCCAGTCACATGACTACATGGCCACGCCCACCCAGTCACATGACCCCCACCAACCCCCACCCACAGAACCGGTAGGGAAAATGTTTTGATTTCACCACTGGTTTTACCCAGAGACGGTATTCAGCTGGTTCTGTCTGGTTCGGTCAACCCTGTAGCGACTGCAGTAGGCTGCCCCCCCCCCCCCCCCGACGTAATGCGCGACCTTCTGCGCATGGGAAGCGGTAGGGAAGGTAAGTGAAACTCACCGCTGCCTTCCCCTCTTTGCTCAGGCAGTTTGACGAAGGTCCCTGTGGAAGATGGAGGACCTTGGGGGCCTCCTTGTTCTTCTGCTGGTGGTCGTGTTGGAGGGAGAGGAGTTGCGACTGATCTTTGGGAAGAGTGCGGTGAAACTTCTTCCCCTGAGCTCCTCCTCCGTCGCCTCGTCTCTAGAAGGGGAAAGAAACAAGAAGCCCCTTGTAAGCCAGAGAAGATCCCTTGTGAGGCCGCTGGAGTTGGCTTAGGACAGTCATGGAGAAGCCTTGGGGAAAGGGAGCGCACTCAGGAACGCGTCTGGGCCGCAACCTGGAAGAGGAGCTGCCCAGAGGCCATGCGCGCGCTGGAAAACGAACCTCCAGTTTCCAGCCAGGTGGTCTCCCGGTTATTGGCGTGCAGGACAATCAGCTGGCCGGCACCCATGCTCACACCGGAAAACGCCAGACCAGCACTTCCAGTTCCCGGTACTGCTGCACGCATGGAGGCCAGCTGATCAGCCCCCGCACTTGCGCCCCAGAAACCTGGGAGAGGAACGGGTGACGCCATGTGTGCCAGACAACATGGCTCGGTGTGCCACTTCAGGCAAGCATGCCATGGGTTTGCCATCACGGGCTTAGGACCACCATGCTTTTCATTTGAGAATCAGCAGTGGCAAAGGCCATCTCCCACATCTGAAACCACAGGGGACACTGGGGAATGGGGGGGGCACTGGGAGAGGCACCTCGGAGACTCAGTGGATGACCAGCTAAATAGGAGTCAGCCATGTGCAGCGGCAGCTAGAAAAGCCAATGCAATCCTGAACTGGGGAATGGAGACTAAAACATACCATGAACGGTTGCAAGAGCTGCATATGGCTAATCTAGGGAAGAGAAGGACCAGGGGAGACAGGAGAGCAGCCTTCCAATATTTGAGGGGCTGCCACAGAGAGGAAGGGGGTCAGGCTATTCTCCAAGGCATCCAAAGGCCGGAGAAGGAATAACAGATGGAAACTGAACATAAAGAGAGTGGAATTAAGGAGAAACTTCCTGACAGTGAGAACAATTAATCAGTGGAACTGCTTGCCACCAGAGGTTGTGGGTGCTTCATTGCCAAAGGTTTTCAAGGAGAGACTAGACAGTCACTTATCTGAAATGGTCTAGGGTCTCCTGCTCAAGCAGAGGGTTGGACTAGAAGACCTCTAAGGTCCCTTCCTGCTCTATTCTGATTGGATGCAAAAATATTCCAAAGATGTCTCCTCTGTCCAATGACAGCCGCACCTGTTGTATTCCTGCGAGTTGGACCGCATCCCCTTTGCACCAGGCCTCCTCCGGCTTCTCTCGGCTGCTTTTATCCTTCTGCCCGTTGCCTGGGGCCACCTGGCCCTCCAGGTGTCTCTTTTCGAGGTCCAGATGTTTCCGAAGCTCTTCCTTTTTCTGATGCTGAAGAGAGGCCAAGAAATCAGTGCTTTCATTTCATCTCTTTATTCAGGGGCTTCTCACACCCGGAGTCAAGGATTCCTTCGTAGGTCGCATTGTGCAACATCATTCTGACACCCTCGGATTCTAAGCAGAGTGGAAACCGTCCACCTCCCCGAGAAATCCCCCCCCCTTCCTGCATTTGGCTATCATTCAACCCAGAAATAAATGGATACGAAATTGTCCTGAGTAAGCTTCCAAATGAAGAATATTATATATATATATATATATATATATATATAAA